ACAACAACAACAACAACAACAACAACAACAACAACAACAACAACAACAACAACAACAACAACAACAACAACAACAACAACAACAACAACAACAACCATAACCGATCGAGCGAAAAGAATGGAAGAAGACCTCAATGCCAAAGTTCCCCCCTCCCCAAAAAAGTGAATGGATCGTGCAAAAAAGAAAGAAGCAGAAGAAGAAAGGAAGGGGGAAGCTGCAGTCTCGATTCCATTTTCATCCCCTTTTGTGCCTTGACCCCTTCCATACCTATCGGACTGCATGCTTGTACGTGTGTTGAAAAAACACATTTCATTTCATTTCATTCCATTCCATTCCATTTCATCCCATTGCATTCCCAAGAACCCGTCCGCACTGCCCTACCTTGCCCTGATCAATTAGGTAGGGAGCATACAGGTAGGTTTGATAGGTTTGCGACTGGGCTGCTCTTTTGTACCCATACTCCCCTTGTCCTCCGTGTACTCTTCTTTCCCTATCCGAAGAGGTAGGGGGGTTATCGGGCCTTCCCTCCGGGTAGAGCTCTTCCGTCCCCATGTGTCATTGGACAATTGCTGGACTGCCTTTTTGTTGATGGTCCGGGCCGATCTGTGTTCCTCTTTGCTGAAAGGGGCTCTGAAGAAGGGGGAGGGGGAGGGAAAGAAAGAGGAGAATGCAACCTGTTGTTCTGGTTTGCCAGAACGCAGTCTCCTCAATCGCTCAAATGCGCATCGAATATCATTGCCCATGCCTTGACGCCCTCGGCGCTGTCTCCTGCAGCGGGCCATCCCAGAGCATCGACCAAGCCCTTCCCCACCACAATCTCCTCGACGACCCGGAATCCGAAATGTATATACAGCCGCACCGCTTGCGGGGTGGTGGCTTCTAGCCACGCGGGCACCCCTTCTACCTTGGCGCGCTCGAGAAAGGGTGTCATCACCGCCTTGATACTCCCTTGGACGCGTTGTTTTGTGGGGTTGCGGGCCAGGAACGAGAGGTGGTAGAACGGCCGCAGTGGGCGTTCTTGGGTGTTGTCGTGGCTGTGGTGGTCGGAGCTGGATTCAGATACTGAAGCCGCTGGTGAATTGGAGTTTGATTCCTCAGCATTGGCATTGGCAGATGTAGCGTTTGAGACAGCCGGCACAGCGAGATACTTTGCCTTGGCGGCCTTGACTCTGTCTCGCCATTCGCTCAGGAGCGGACCGGGCTGAGCTTTTGAGTCTATGAACGGCTTGCCCTGGTACGTGGGAGTCTCCCACAACGCTATGGCAGACCAATCGCCCGCGTGCACCAGCTCGGCGCCCGAGGCCGCGCTCTCCAGTATCCCGCGGGAGAAATGTCGTTCTCGCCGAGCAGCGTCGATCAGTGGCGACGGATACGGCGGCGGCGTCTTGTCGATATCCACTATGAATGCCGTTGTGAGGGCTGTGCTAGAAAAGGCCGCCGTGATGATGGAGATGAAGGTGGCGATGTCGGATTGGGAGTCCGCGGCGACGGGGACGCAGGCTTGAGGCGACGTTGAAGTAGACATGTCGGATTTCCAAATTCAACTGTCTGCCTGATATTGCAATGGATGTCTGTAGTGGGTTTTCGAGTTTCTTTGTCGTTGTGATTTGTCGTCGTGACCTTGTTTGGTTTGTTGTGGTTGGTATTGTTTCGGACCGAATTCTGAAAATAAAGCCCTGGTTGAAGCCCTGAGAAGTTCTGAGGAGGTGAATGAGTTGGACCAATGCCACCTAAGAACGCAAGTAAGGGAAAACACAGGACGGAAGAAAACAAAGAATGAATGTAAGGGTAAAAGGCCCGGAAGAGGGAGGAAGTGTTGCGGTGAGCGCGTGTAGCAACAAAGGATCACGAGGCTTCGAGTTGCGTAAGAAGCGGAATGCGTTGATTGCATGGGAACAAGAAAAAAGGAAAATGCTTCCCTAATGCCTCCCCGGGGTAAGCGAGCGAGTGCGGGCTCCTTTCTTGCTCAGCATTCTTCTATGCAGTGGCCCAGGTCATTTTTTGCGTGTTTCCGCCCTGTGACGAATTGATGCCGTTCAATGCTACGTTTAGGATCCAGTGGGTGACATAGGATGGGGTAAGAGAAATCAAAGCATTCGTTCATGCTCTCGCCCGGCCCGCGTGTGGCCGCGGGTTATTCTAGACAGGAACATGTTGGATGACTACTAAGGAACAGAGAAGAGAGTGTTGGTCCGAAGGGCGTGTCACGAGGACTCTTTTACTGCTCAACAAAGGAATGTACATACGTACAAAGTAGGTAATAGTAAGGGAGGGGGTGTTTCACCTCCCAGTAGGATGAGTTTTGCACATGTAATACGGGGAAGTACACAATGGACCAAAGCAAGCTGCTGTTTTCGATTATTTGTGCAAAAACACACCCGGGTGCATGTATGCACTTAACTCTTCAACTCATTGACCAGGAATCATTGTGCCACCTGGAAACTACATACCTTGCCAACCGCTGGAGAGAGACTTACCTTTTTCTGTTGTCGCACACACCCCCTCCTCGAGATCATGAGATGAAGAACATCAGCCACTTGATGTACTTTTCCTTCTTGGCTTGCCGTTTGGCTCGGTCAGCTGTACGGGCCGCATCCTCCTGGTGGTCAATATATCGTTGTTGAGGCCAGTATCCATGGGATTGAGACTCCCTGTGTGCTCCATCAGAAGATCGACGAGCATTCGCAGAGCCTGACGCTCGAATGCTGCCCTCTTGGTAGTGTGATCGACGCTGTGGGCGTGACGCCTGGCGCAGTTCTGGCTGAGGTGGCGCCTGTAATCCTCGTTGTAAAGGACGTTCTTCGTACCCTGAACGAGATCCCCCGCGTTGACGGCTATGCACTTCCCGTCGAGGGTCGCGTTCCTCATATCGAGGCGGCGCTCGCTCTTGTCGGGAAGCAGCAGATGGCTGTTGCGAACGGCCTGGGTTCTTTTCCCTGACCAACCATTTTCTTCCGTTGGCATCGGTGAACTTTCGAACCGTGGGCTTCGCCTCTTGGAAAGGCATTTTGCATATCAAACCAAGAAGCCCTTGAGAAAGTAGCTATTTTCTGTGTTACCGTGTTCTGAGTTGGTGTGTACTTACCTTGGTTTGCCTGAAGTGGGCAGCTTGCATTGGTGATTGATTACCCATGGACCGGGCCATTTATAGTCTTGGGTTCCTTCAACAACCCACTTGAAACAATCATTCCGGTGTCATTTGGTTGTCAAAGAACACAACTAGGGCCAAAGGGCGGCAGAGAAGCGGCAGAACAAAACCAAATTGTTACCACAAAGCAGGTCTTTGTGGCATAAAGAACGAGTGATTGATGGGCCAACAAGTCCTGTCTGTGACGCGATACTGAGAGACCGTCCAAGCTCCATTGTGCACACTCATACCCTAGAGCTTCCGCGAGCCCAGGTCTTGTTGAGCAGTCAAACAAAGTGAAATGTGACTTGAGAGAATCCTCTGATGATTTATTTCTCGTGCACTGTGTAGGGGAAAGGAATTACCAGGTGATCAACCCGACTTCGCAAATGTAATCTCGCAAGAGCCAATGACACGGGAATGAGCCTCTCACCTCGCTTAACAGTATCGTCAACCACATGCTTGGGAGCTCTGGCATTTTCTTAATCACTTGTTGTACCGCCTCGTGGCTGGCTTTGAGAGACCTCTAGGAGCGTGTACTCCACATCTCGAGTCGATGGTCTGTTGGACACAGCTCCATTGCACTGAGCCAGCTGGAAAATTCCATGTATTTCTGTACTCCTCAGCCGTACCTGGATGTGTTGGGGCGACCACAGTGGGTAACGACTGCATGAAGCTGGAGCTGTTTCATAACTTGTATCAGACTCAAGCCAAATCAGCCATGGCGCAAGCCACAGCCGCAGTCTTTCCTCTTTCTGGGGCCCGCGTTCGGTTGCAAGCGGGCCATGGATGGGATATTGATGGGGATATGGAAGGGTGGTGGATGGGCCATTGACGAGGGGGACTTGCAGGCCTCGCCGAAGTAACTGGTTAGAGGGGCCGTGTTCCTGGCCCAAAAAAAACTCTTCAATCCTGGCAAATGAGAGCCACAGGAATCTCGGAATCTCACCTTTTTCGCCCATTTTTCCCCTCAATTCTCGACCAGGGGACCCGTGTTTACGAAACAAGGGCTTTCGTCATGCAATTCAAAAGGGAGCACAAATGGACAGGAGAGAGAGAGAGAGAAAAAAAAAAATATGGTTCTCCCACACGCATTGGTGGTAGCGAGTGGCTTCTGGGGCCCGTGATCGAATACCTACTTTTCTTGGTGATGTGACAGGCGCAGGTAGCACCGATCGAGTACATAGCAGCTCTCATCGGGTCTCGATTCATGTGGTTCCTTCACTTTCTATCTTTCCATTGCTTCAATCCATTTTCATTGCACTCGCTTGACTTCTCCAGACTACCTGTTACCTGTTACCTAGTATTTGAGGGTGGTCGCCGTCCCTGTAACCACCCTTGTTGATCTTGTACAAACACAAACATTTCTTATTCCTCCTTTTCTCAGATCGCCCTCGCTTGTATCCCGGTTCCCCTTCTTCTTGAAACCGGCTCAATCTCTAGCACACGTCGTCCGTCCCTCTCAGGTAGAGTACGCGTACAGTCTGCTTCAGATCTTCATTCACTTGATCGCGTCACAAATATCCGACCAAAATACTGCCGATACTGCCCACATTCTTTCACTTCCACCTCGACCCTTCGAGCGGCATAGCTTGGCGGCATGTCACAAAAAGGTCACTACAAGAGGTTTTCGAAGGAGGGATTTCAACCTCTTACCCATCAGCCATCTGGGGACATGGCGAACCCTAACGACGTTACGATTGATATCCCATTGACAAAGGTCAGCACCTCTGGCAGCGCCACTGGTGCCCGCAAGGCCGATGCACTCTCTCCCTCGCGTTCCCAGTACAATGCAGAATTCTCAGAAAAAATGGACGAGAACCAAGGCCCCCACTTCCACAGAGGCCCAGCAGGCAGGAGAAGAAGGTTGGAAGATCGAGGCCGGCAGAACCAGGACAAGGAAGATGGCACATTGAACGCAGTCGGCAGATTCTATAAGAAAGTGTACAACTTCTCTGTGCTGACCCGCTATTTCATCTATGTTGCCCCCCTTGCTTTGGCAATTGCGGTTCCCATCATTGTCGGAGCCACGGTCGCGCCTCGGGCACGCATCGGCGGCGTCAAGATCTTATGGTTCTTTACCTGGGTCGAGGTGGTTTGGGTATCGCTCTGGGCCTCGAAACTGGTCTCTCATTTCTTACCCTTTCTCTTTCAGTTCATTTGCGGAGTGGCCAGCCCAGGCACAAGAAAATACGCTCTGGTTCTCAGTTCACTTGAGATCCCCCTCTCCCTGGTTGGCTGGGCTGTTACATCTTTGGCGACGTTCGTTCCTATCATGACATTAAATCCCGATCAAAGGTCACGTGGAGAGACCGGCCTCAAATCCTGGGAATCTATCGTCAAGAACATTCTCTTCGCCTGCGTCTTCTCCACGTTGCTCTTACTCGGGGAAAAGGTGCTCATTCAGCTCCTCTCTATCAGCTACCACCGCAAGCAGTTCGATGAAAAGATCAAAGACTCGAAGCGGAACATTCATCTGGTTGGCTTGCTTTACGAGGCTTCTCGCAAGCTCTTCCCGGAATACTGTCGGGAATTCGCCGAAGAAGATTACCTCATCAACGATGTTCTGGACTTGGGGGAGCGCAGCAATCGCAACAGCCTGTTACCTGGGCACAAACGATCTGGCTCGGCGACTCCTATGAAATTAATTCACAATGTCGCACGGGTGGGAGACAAGGTCACAGCAGCATTTGGAAATGTCGCCCAGGAGATCACCGGCAAAAAGGTTTTCAACCCCACTGCCTCTCACTCCATCGTGGTGCACGCTTTGGAGAAGAAACACTCGGCAGAAGCCCTTGCTCGGCGCCTGTGGATGTCTTTTGTCCTCGAAGGGAAGGATGCCCTCAGCATCGACGACATCATCGACGTTCTCGGCCATGATCGAGAGCAAGAAGCTCACGAAGCCTTCGAGATCTTGGACGTGGATTGCAACGGAGACATCTCGCTCGAGGAGATGATCCTTCGAATCACCGAATTCGGACGAGAGCGTCAATCAATCGCGAGCAGCATGCATGATGTCGACCAAGCCATCAATGTCCTCGACAACCTCCTCTGCACAGTCGTCTTTATCGGTATCATATTCATCTTCGTCGCCTGGCTCAATCGCAATTTCACCACCACACTTGCCACAGCAGGCACTGCTCTCCTCTCAATGTCCTTTGTCTTCGCAACCACCGCCCAAGAGGTCCTCGGGTCTTGTATCTTCTTATTTGTCAAGCATCCGTTCGACGTAGGTGATAGAGTCGACATTACCGACACCCAATACGTGGTGGAACGCATGTCTCTTCTTTATACCGTGTTCCGGCGGGTCAAAGATCACAAGCGAACTCAAGTTCCCAACATCGTCCTCAATTCTCTCTGGATCGACAACGTGTCTCGCAGCAAAGCTATGCGCGAACAGGTTCAACTATATGTCAGTTTCGACACCACGTTTGAGGATATCGATTTGCTCAAGAAGGAAATGACCACCTTTGTCCGAGACAAAGATAACGCACGCGACTTTCAGCCGGATATTGACGTCGAGGTCACCGGCCTGGCCGAAATGAACAAGATGGAACTTAGAATTGAGATCCGGCACAAATCTAATTGGGCAAACGAGGCCGTACGAGCAGCAAGAAGAAACAAATTTATGTGCGCCCTTGTCATGGCCGTGCGGAAAGTTCCACTTTATGGACCAGGTGGTGCCGGTCCTGCTGCCGGTGACAAGGCTAACCCGACGTACTCCGTCGCGATCAGCGATGAAGTTGCAAAAAAGAACAGGGAAGAGTTTGACGAGAACCTGGATAAGAAGAGACTCGTTCCCCTATTGGAGAAGAATAAGCCTCACATCGACTTGTCAAAAGCCAAATCAAGTGACTTCCTTAGTCCGTCGACTGGAAGGGAGCTTACGGAAGCGGCAGCAGTTGACCATTTGGTGAAGCGTAAGGTGGCCGTTGACCCTGAAGAGGTTGTCGACCATGAGCGAGAGCGTCAGATGAATAAGCAACGCTCGAATGATGTTGAAGAAGTGCGAGACATTCTCAGACGCGAGTCCACCAGGGGTCGGCGACGAGCAGCGCGCCATAGTGGTCTCTCGCTGCCAAGTACCGAGAACGCAGCAGGTTCGCGAACGATCCCGACTATTCCCGATGTGTCACCACCAGAGCCAGTGACCGCGACCACCTCAGCACCAGCCAGAGTCAGCTATTTCGAGGACACACCTCAACCAGATCCAGTCCTTCCAGCTGCGCCGCAGGCTTGGACGACAGTGACGCCTCTGGACTACAACGCGACACCTCCGCAATCGATGCAGCCATCCTCACCGCAGATGTCGCAGGTGTCGGGCTCTACAAGTCCATCTCGTTATGTACCCGGCAACGCCTTCTCCCAGAGAGCCTATGCCACATCGCAAGTACCACGAATTCCAGTCCCAGGAATGCCCGAAATGAAGAGAAACTTGCAGACGCAGAATCCGTCTCCTCCACCAAAGTGATGTAGCGGGAAAAATTTCGGACTTTCAGATGATACGATGAATACCACAAGAGTGATCCCAGATGCGGGCCTCTATCTAATGAAATACAACACAAGTCTGCATGTGTGCATGCAGCACAGAGCTATGATTCGGCTGACATGGTAGATCCAGTAAGCTAGGGGGGTAGAATCACCAGTACGATAGATAGTGCTATGCTGTTTTGTCGACGACAAGATAAAGAGACAGGAAAGAAATCACTCAGCGTGCATTCAATCCGAAATGCAACGACTTTCTTCTAGCTTGGACATATTATAATGAGCCGACTTAGGAATACAGGAGATGTGTCTAACCCAGTGCCAGAAAAGGGGAGAGTGCTGAAGTGCGATGAAGAAACATCCCGTCCATGGCTTGGACTCTCATGCTACCGTGCTCCGTATCAATATCTCACAAAGACTCCTGCAACAAGTCTCGAGCGACTACTGCCACTCCCGCTTGCGCTTGCACTTGCACTACCACTTCCACTACCACTCCCACTGCCGCCGCCACTTCCTGTTCGATCGTCTTTTTTGTCGTCGCCTTTTGGGGCCTCTGAGCCTTGCCGAGGCGTGCTGGCAGAGCTACTCGGGCTTGTTCTCGATATGTCAGGTCGGCGATCACTGGGTGACGCGCTCGCTCTTGAGTGGTGGTAATAGTCGCCTGGATAACTCATTTCTCGCTCTTTTCCTTTGGCTTCGTCTTGAGACGGTTGATCGCCGGTTTCCGTGGGACTTCCACCTGACGACTGATCTTCGGCCCAGGTACTTGTCGCCGGATCTATCTCCTCCCCTTCTTTTGCGAAATCGTACAAAATAGGCTCGTGGGGGGGTGCGGGACTTCTTCGAGGAGGGTCTTCTAGGCCAAAGCCGATCGATTGTGGTTCCTTGAGGGGCGAGTCTGATGGTGACCCTTTGGCGTGCTCTTCTAATGTGGACTGATCGTATGATGTACAGGTAGTCGATGGCCTTTTGTCCATAATCATGCGGAAAGAAAGCTGAAGAGGTCTCAGTGAGACTTCTGAAAGGGACAGAGCAACTCCGATCCAGTATCTCGAGGGGAGATATATACCAGCAGAAACAGTGATGCCTTACGACATGCACATCCAACGGGCCTTTGCAATCAGGGCCTGAGAACCAATAAGTCCAGCATCCGACGTGTGTGGTTTGTCGCCAGGGGCACAGCCTCGTTCAACACAGCAAAAGGACGACTGTCGTATCCGGTGCGTATCAGGAGAGGGTGTGGTTGATCAGTACACCTGTCCCTATTCCACGAGATACCTCTTCTTGCCTGGTGGCTTCACCTTCCAAAAGTTCCAAACGCCAGCCAGAGGGACTATCACATAATTATAGCCCTGAATCTGCAAGCACAGTCAAGAATATCCTGGAGGGACCCTACTGCAACCGGACATAGTACTATGAGCAGCACTCTGGGACGAAGCAAATGCCCATCAACCAATGGACAAAGTGCTCGATGCTCTGAACCTTCTCGCAGGGTCCTCTGTCTTTGGTCATGCCGAAGAATTGGCGTTACATCGCAACAGCGGGCAAGTAACTTAATGGAACAGAATCAGGACAATCAATGGCTCAATCAACAACGTCGACTCATAAACACAGTCCACAAACCCTGGCCTGCGTCATGACCAACCCCCTGGACAAGGCATGTGGCTCCCTGGTCCATCTCGACGCACGGGGATTGGTGAGCACAGACACGACGACCAAAAAAGGCTGGTCGGAAGGCTGTTTAGCTCTTTAGCCCCCTAAAACGGCGCCGCCTTGTTCGGCCATATGGATTTACAAAGCAAGCAGCTCTGGACGCTTCCAATTACACCCGCGGGCCCGATGTTTCGCGAGCTACCCGGCCATCGATCGCGAGAGATTTTTATTTCGCTGCCTACAAAAAGCCTTTGCCTTGATGCCTTGAGTCAGATGACCCCCACGGAAAGAAAGCTTGCTCATTTGTCGCCGACCGAGGTACTGAACTGGGTACCACAGCCACAATTATGAGCAATGCCTGAGTGACATCCTAGACGAGCTGAGGCGCCTAGATTGACTTCATCCAGTTCGATGCCGGGCGCCCAGAATGTCTAGGGCCTAAGCAGCCAGGCAAAAGGAATTGGCGTAACGTCGATTTCCAATCTACAGACCGACCACTGTGGTACATGCTTACCACCCCCGGATGACTGTCAATCAATTTCTCGTCGACATGCGCATCGCGTGTCTGCCTGGTTCGCCTACATGCCTCCCACCCAGTTAGTCAGGGCCGCCAGGGCCTTCTCTGCGCCTATTCGGGTTAGATTGCGCCATCACCTCCCGTGGTGAGTTAACAGACTTGTCCTTGTTACTTGGTAGGCGGGAAACTCCCTTTGCCTGCAAAGGGGACATACGAGGCCCGGCACAGAGAATCCGGATGTTTCCTGCATGAAACGAACGATGTGGGCGAGCCACGTGCCGTCACCCGTCCCGGTTTGTTTACGCACCATCCACTACCTCGTAAAACAATGTCTGCCTTGCCGGTCCCAAAAATCGCTCGTCTCCAAAAGTTACAAGTCGATTGGGGAAATGAGAAAGGATCCCGCTGATCATCCTACGCGAAATCCACCTCTCTGGGATTAGTTCCTTGATGTCACGGCTGGGGACAGTCGCCCACAAACTCTGTCCCATCGTGGTACCCCACGGAATCTGGTTAATGATCGAGCATCACGACAACCTTCGCGTCCAACTCTAAACGAAAACGACCCCTCCCCCCCCGTATCACTCTGACTAAGTCCCCGGCAGTCGACTCACCGGCAACGCACGATACAGTCCATCCATTCACCTGGAGAGTTAAGCGAGGCTCCTCTTCAATCTGGGAAGGCCTGACTCCACCGAGATGAAGCCACTTCCAAAAATACTGCCAGGCGCCGCAACATTCGCCAACCTCCGATGCTCGCCCACGGCGGATATCTTGGCCGACTTCATACTCTGTACACGGGGAATGCGGCTGCCTATACTGGTTGCACTGTATGTATAGGGGCACTTCGGCCCTTCCGAGCGCCATGTTCTTTCACAGCCAGCGGAGTTTGGCCGTTCCTGGGAAGGCTCGACGTTGTTGGGTGGCGAATGCTCTCTCTCGAGGGGGAGGGGGGAATTTTTGAACGGCTTTGGAGACGGAATTCCCCTGTGAATGTTGCTGCAGCCATCATCGGCCGTCACCACCATCTGTTCCCCTGTCCTCCTGCCAGGCTATGCCTCTTCTGAATTTCGACATGTCTACCAAGTATGGAACTATTTTTGGGGCCAAGAGCTTTGGAACGTTCGCCATGCCTTCTCTCGCTCTACCACAAACGGACGGGACAATCGGTGCGTCAACACTTGCCGGTGCGACTGGCTCTATCGACCCATAGTACATGTATGCAGCGGAGAAAAAATGGAGTACGTCTCCGCTCAATGGCCCTCTGTATGGCCCTGGTTTGATGGGATATCCGCAAGGCTATTTCTCGACATATCATATGATGAATTTGGCAGTAAGCCTTACGATGATTTACACGAGATCAAGCGATGCACCGCCCTTTTCACACCGGCCGATCAGAGGCATGTTTGCAGGTTGCAGTGACAACCCAGTCGACTGCTTCAAGTGGCACCGTCTACGCGAGGGGGCTAGGGATTTTCTGCGGTCCAGCAGACTCTTTCACACATGTTCTATTTCGAGCCTCAATATATTTCCTCACTGCAACGGTCTAGGTAAGTCTGCCTACACCCGAAGATGACAGCTCCCTCCCGAGTCGAAGAGCTGCTTGGTTTTTGAGGGACTCCATACTGCTCCTTGAGGGCAGCGTATGCCAGCGAGGGATCTATCTGTGGTTCTCGCCTAACCACAATCATATGCAGCGTGATTTCCGTCTCGACTGGATCAGAAATCGTCGCTCCTGCTGATTGAACCTTCCGAGGGGAAGTAGGTGGAATAACCCAAGCATTGGACTATTGGATGTCATCCAAAACATGATGGAGAGAGCAAAGACCAAGCCTGCAACCGTCTTCAGTACCGATCGACCACAGAATCTCTCTCGTCGAGAAGACGGTTCCCAAGAGTTGCTCGGCCCCTTCACCGTCCAAAAATACCGTCTCCCCCACTCGCTTCCGATCAATGACGCGAACTCTGAGAAAAGCTGCTCTCGACTTACGAGAACATAACCTTCCGACCACAGGGCTGATCTGCTCGGTGCGCGGTGGTGGCCGCCCATGGGATACGAGGGAAATCATCGTATCGTCGGCAACCGCCTTTTCTATTTCCGCCCTCAATCGTGGTTTACAAAGTACATACACTTTTATATGGCTGGTAACTCCACTCTGCCACTGTTCACACTTGCCTATTCGGTCCTATTCGGTCCGATCCTATCCTATCCTACCATATCTTATCATGTCAATTCCTATCCTGTGCTGGTGCTGGTGCTGGTGCCGCATATGTCCTATTATCCTGTAATCACAGCCTTTTCTCCATATTTCCTTCACCATCGTCGCTCCCTCCCTCCGTGCGGCCGCCGGAGCCAAAAAGGACCCCAACCATGTATAGTAGTACACTGCACAATGTACATGGACATGGTATATGGCACGAGGCATCTAGAATGCGCAGCGGTGCGCAGTCAATGCAGCAGGCTCCAGGACCCGTGATGGCAGCGAGGACGGCATAGATTTATATGCATGGGGGTCGAGCAGGGAATGAGGGAATGCCGGAAACATCCAAGGCATTAGACGCGTGCGGGAGAGAGGGAGGGAGAATATAGAAAAGACGAGAGAGTCAAGGGACAGCCCCTGGAAACCCGGCGGAGATATATATGTGCCTCGGGGGCCTGCGGCTCAGCTCGGTGGATATAACAACCACGTCATCAACGCCAACGCCGCCGCTGTCGTAGGAGGAGACAAGATATATGGTAGACATCGGCCCCTGGGAGGTTTCGCTGTCGTGTTTAACCTACATATATATGGATTCTCTAGGGTTCTCGTGTCCTTAAGACGTTAGGTGCTCTTTATCACACTCTAGGTTTGACAGGGATAAGGGTGGCATCGTCCGGCTCGTGCCAATGCCGCCCCATGCAATATCCTCCCCAACCCGTCTAGTTGAGTTGTTTCCCCGAGTCCTCATTCATTGCAGCCATGCCCTCGGCGGGTGCCCATACACCACCAGGGACCTGGATACCCTGATCATGGTGCGGTTGTCGTTGTTCATGAGTAAGAAAAGCCATCGACGCCATCAATGTCATCAACGCCACCGCTATGCTGAATGCCAGAAGAATGATAGTCCAAGACTCCCCAAAAGCCAGGCACCGTGCCTCCCTTGCTGAAACTCAAAGACGCAGAAGTTCATGCCGCAACGCCACGGTCAATATCTTTCACACAAGTCAGTCTCCATCCGCCTCAGGCGTGCAGTCTCGGATCTCAGAAGTTTTCCATGAAAGCACATCTGACTGTCCACATCCGGGCTCTCTTCCCATAAATATACATTGGAATTGCCGTCAGCATACAGGCAATCTGGATACCCCCAATCGCCAAGAAGGTGGTCTTGGGCCCGTCTTCCTCTAGCCAATTCGCGAAGAACAGACTAAACACAAGCCCGTGAAAGATGTTCTTGCTGAAATTCAGTGTCACTAGCGCCTCGCCGGCGTATTGTCTGTAGCTGTCAACGCAAAAGGTGATGGATGTGGTACTTCCCAAGGAGCAACCAAAGGAAATGACACCGAAGAAGATGGTGGGGACAATCCATGCATCTCGCTCTTGAGCAGACCACCCAAAGCCCATGAGGCCGATCGCCGTGCTGATGGCGACTGGGATAGCCATAACAAGGCGAAATTCCGGTTCGTAGACGCCGCCATTTTTGCGAGCCATGAAGCGGATGATGACGTCGGAGACCCGTCCCGCCACTGCTGTCCCCAGAATCCCGCCGACAAATGGTGAAACGTAAACCAACCCAGCCTGCAGAGCTGTAAAGTTGTACGTATCTCGG